TATTTTAATTGTTATGTTTATTTTAATTATTTGTTTTATTTAATTTTTAATCAAAATGCAAAAAACATTCAAAAATCAGAAAAGGCCAAAAAATAATAAATATTAATATTATAATTATTTTCATAAATAAATGCTTATAATTACTTAGTTTTATTAGGTTACAAATTTAATTCCTTTTAATAACTAAAATCCAAAAAAATAGAATTTAGGTTTAATAACTTTTTATTTTCTTTTTTAATTTTTCCCTTTTTTCAGAATAATAATATTAGTTATTTATTTTCATGAATTAAAAATTGTGCATAAATAATTTAGGGTTTAATTTAGGTTAATTTAATTCTTTCATAATAAATAAAAAATATTAGAATTAGGGTTTGCCTTTTAATTTAATTTCAATTAACTCCTTTTTCTCGTTAAATCTAAAAAAACACAAAAATATCATTTTCATTTAATTTTAATTTTAAATTCCTTGTTAATTTTAATTGTTTGTAAAAGGGTCCAACGCCCATTGTTTAATCATTTAATTTCGCATGATTTATTTTTATCGTTCATTGTAATTATGTATATCTCCCAAAGCCATGTAACTTTACTTTTCGCACTTTTATTTATCGCTTTATTTATTTTCCGCTAAATCGGGTCCGGTTTAATTTTGGCGATGTGGACCCGCGCCTTTGTAATAGCCTTAGATTTATTTTTCGCAAACTTTATAACTGTTAAATATGCATGCAAGAATGAATGGCCCTAAATAAAATCAAGCGTAGATCACAACAAACATGACAAGACAAATAATTGAAACATGACACACAATTCGCACACACCACCCCTAGGGTACGCCTCACTGTTGCCTTTCGAAAGGTGGTCGTCGAGTAGAGGACGTCTTAGTAAGTCCTCATGATCCGGGAACCTGGCATGAGGGTAGCTTCTAAGGTGTCTTCCCATTGCTCTGGTGATCACCATGTCCCTAAAAATCGAATTGACCCGAACACCTCCAATGGTGGTGCTACCTACCTCTCAATGGTGGGATGGCACTACTTTTAAGGACCCTTACACAGACGAATTCCTTAGGGTAGGTAGGTTCTCAAGGATACTTGCTCTAATCTCAAAACAAACTCAAAAAGACTTTTCACACCGACACTTTTCAAAAGCTTTCAAAACAAACTTTTCAAACACTCTGACGTATGAGTCGATCTGAAATTTTTTCAAAGAAACTTTTAAACCCACATTGAAAAGCAAACAAACATTTTAAAAACACATTGAGCAAGCATCTAAGAGCCCATGGATAACCATGGATAGAAAGGGTGCTAACACCTTCCCTTTCTATAACCTACCTCCCGAACCGAGAGCAATCTCTTTAAAGGAATTTTTCTGTGCTTTTGTCCTTTCCATTTGGAGAAAATAAAAGACGGTGGCGACTCTTGCTTCCGCGACATTTCGCGAACCAGCTTTAAAACAGTCAGTTCCAGATCCACCGATCACAGCCGGCTTTGGTGTAGACTGAAGTTGGTTGATACTCGATGCTACACTCATTGAGATCATACTCTCGGGATATTTTGGTCGCAAATCATATGATATTGAGGCTCCTAGAACCCGATTACTTCTTTTAGGACTAGTTGAGCCAACTAAAAAATTTCAAGAGGGTACTTACTGTAGTAGTAAAATCAATGAAGTCGCTACTGAGTATTTATTTATCCCATATAAAAGGGAAAGGAAAATAATCGAGGAAAAACCTAAAGGGGGAAATCCAAGTCTTGCGACCGAGAGATTGGGTTAGGGATTCGATTACGCGAGGGGAAGGTATTAGCACCCCACACATCTGTAGTACTCTACGGGATCCACTCTTGTTGTTCTAATCGAAGGGTGTGTTAAATCTAATGCTTAAGAGTTATAAACTAAGAGGGAATGCATGCAAAGAAAACACATTGAAAAGAAGGAAATATTTACAAATTTTCGCTCGGCTGAGCCCTGTGACTCAATGCCTACGTATCCCTTTTAAGGAATCAAAGCTCCGTAGCTCGGCTCATATATTTTTGTTTGTTTGTATTTTTTAAATGAACAATGTTGCATTCGATCATTCCACCGCTGCTCGACCTTTAGGGACTTACGGCCTATAGTGGAAAGGAACTAACAATGCTCTTAGAAGAGAAAAGCTGAATGGCGAAAATAAATGGATTGGTTGGTATTTTTTTACCGTGAAAAGAATTTTTGTATGCTTAGCATTTTTTACACATTTGCCAAGAAAAAGAAATTTTAGTCTTAAATGAAATTATGCAAAAATGGGAAGAAAACGTCTAAGGGAGACTAACCTATCTCTAACCTAATGTTATCATACAATGAGGGATCCTATCTAAGTTAGCATGCCAAAGAAAGTCTAACAAACTATCCTATAGGTAACATACAATGAGAGCGAAGTCGTGATCGCAATTTCTAAATTGAGTGACTCATTGATCAATCAAGAAATAAAGGAAAGCGATAAAATCCTATAGGAAGCATGCAGTGAGAGAGAATTCGTGATATCAATTTCTAAATTGAGTGACTCATCGATCAACAAGAAAGGAAACAAACACAAGCATAACACATATAATAAATGAAGTGTGGAATGCCTGCTACAGGTCTTTAAACAGCGACTTCGAGTGCACGCTCTTTATTTCCTACTTCTCATGATATCTAGCAGCGATAAATGCGGAAATATAAATTGGAAGCAGTATAATACCAAACAAACAATAATGTCTGCAAAAAAGTGCAACCAAAGTAAAGAAACCCAAAATACTTCACACGAGCTGGCATCAACAAACAAACAGTCAGAGATCGAATATTTGGAACATATGTCGAAGCATCATCGAATTGAAAATAAATCACAATCGGAAAATCAAGCATGTCCGCATATCACACACTAAACATGAATAAAATTCAAATCTTGGCAAGCAGAAGTGAAGCACAAGTTTCAAGTAATCGAAAAATTAGAAATTAATTTCTTAAAAAATCAAATGAGAAATCTAACAAATTTTATTGATTTTTGTAGTTTATTACTCAAAAAAATAAGAGGCATTCCTAAAATATATATTTTTTATTGTTTTATTATATGTATTTTCCTACTATTTTTATTATAAAAGGAATTTAAACTAAAACTAAACAAAATCTAGAAAAAACATAGCAAATATAATTGATCAGGGGGTGTTGAACTGGATTCTGATGGTGTATTATAGTAAACTGGGCACAGGGACCAACTTTTAAAGTCCAATAAAGCCAATTTTGTAATACTATCACCTTAGGCTTACAAAAAGGGTTGAGGCAGACTCAGGGATATAGGGACTCGATCCAAAACAAGCAATAACAGCCCAATCCTTTTGTCTTATTTGTTTCCAATAAAAAAAAGAAAGGATTGAATAGGGAATACGTGCAATTAATAAACTAGGGTTCAACTATGTAACTATTCAGCTTCGCTTAAAATGCAATTTCTTCCTTTCCAAACTTCATAGATGACGATTCTCACCCCTTTCCTCCACCTTCTCCTAGCTTCTAGTTTAGTTCTCCTTCATCAATTCACAATTTCGACGCAACCTTATTCTTACCATATTCGATTCAAACCACCACCGGCCACTTCATAAACATCGTCGCAACGATTCTCTTCTGATTTCCTCATCGATCAACACCTCTTCTCAGTCTCACGCATTCACCGCTTCCAGATCGAATCAAATATACAAACCCCAGTGCATATAAAAGCTAGGAATTTGGATCACAACCTCAAATTGTTAACAGAAATGATGTAAAACTCATGGAGGAATAAGACTTACTGACCGGAGAACTCTGATTTCTCTTCTACAGCGACGTCGCTGATAGAAACTTAAGTATGCATCCCTTAGCTCTGAATCTACGTGAATCTTCTTCTTCTAAATTTCTGATTCCGTGTGTTTCTGTTATTGTGTTTTCTGTTGTGGTAATTGTGGTAATTGTGATATTGCAGATTCAGCGGTGTCGATGCGATGAAGATGATGTGTAGCTTGCAAAATGAATAGTAAAGATGTATGTTGTCGTTAAGCAGAGCTGATTAAGGGTTGCACGCAGAAGATGATGATCGAATCGAGGTTAATGCAAAAACTCTAAGATGATTTTAGAGAGAGAGTGCGAGAGATATTTTTCTGTGGAGATTCTTCTGAGAATTGAAGAATGTCTGGAGTTCCGAGAGAAAGACTGAAGAAGAGCCCTTTTTTTATGATTTTCCGTTAATGATTCTTCAGCTAGCTTCCAGAATGATGAAGAGAGTGAATAATTGTTTATAGGAGAATGAATCAGAGCCATTGGATGGTGGAAGGAATAGATTGGCGATTACAAGTTGTTGGAGAGGACGATTGAAATCAGGTACAGAAGAAGCTTCTACAGCACCTGATGATGGTTTAAGAATATCTAAGCGTGGAAGAGAGAAATCTCAGAGGTGAGTCCTTTCTTGATTTTTATGTCTTCTCAATCATGAATCCCCTTTCTCATTTATGTTACAAATCTGTTTCAAATTTGTTACAGATCTGTTATAAAGCTCTGGAGATTCTGTTACAGATTTGAGCTCTTTCTGTTTCAATTTTTTGTTAAGTGTTATATGAGTTAGTTGGAAGCCCGTTAGGTACTGTTAATAGTCAGTTATTGTTTTTTATTTATTTTATTTCTATTAGGATTCAGTTAGGGAGTTAGTTCTAACAGTTCTGTTTGGGAAGTAGGTTAAGAATCAAGAGGTTTGGACAACTAGTATATGTGTTTTTCTTTTGTACTGAATATTGATCTTTTTACTTGACTGGTAAATTCTAGTATTTTTGAGATGAATAATACCCATATGGTATCTGAAATGTGCAGGTTTTGAACATATTGAAGTGCTTTGAAGCATGGTAGGGTTAATCATTTTGCATTAGGATTGGTTTTCCATGTGGTGCAGGGTCTGTTTGTGATGTCATGCTTTTGACTTGTACAGTGACTGCTAAGATGGGAGCTATTTACATTAGGCTTTTCTCAAACTATTCCTAATGGAATCCAAAGGTATTCTCTCCACCGTAAGTCATGTAAAGAAAACCATCCTCATCCTTATAATCTTCATAAAGAGAAGACATCAAAGTAGCAGTTGGATGTTGTCAACGAAACAAAAATAAACTTCTCTGTATTGAGCTTAATTCTTTTGCAGGCAACATAAACAAATTGACCAATAGACAAGTCAGTTGGAACAAGGTACCTCTTTTTATCAATGTTTGCAATGTCACTTCTTCCGGATTTCTCCGTAATCATAGGTACTCTATCAGGATACTTGTCTCTAATGCGAGTAGATCCAGCCTGCCTTCTTTCAAAAGGGTGTTGAGTCTTGAAGGAAGCTTTAGACATGACCACAATGGAAAAGCGGGAACTCTCAGGAAAGAATTGATGATCAAAGTGAAGCTGGAAACCTTACCATGAGTGTTGAATGGTTGAAGATTAGGATAGGTTTAGGTTTGTGTAATTTGTGAAATGCAACTTTTATGATTAGAGTCCAATTTGTGGGACTCTCTTATTTTGCGTAAGGCTTAATATCTCTTGTAATGAAAGTAGTTGAAACAAGTGTAGTGAAATGTATCATCACTTGCATTTTTTTTTTAAAAATCTTGAATGAATTATTGCATTTACTTAAAGTTTGAATCTTTGAATAGCTTTTAAACATAACCAATGGTCCTAAGATATTCCATACTTGCCATGCCATCCTTGAGTTTTCCTTCTCGCTTTTTGTGATGTTCTCAAGACTTTAACCCCTTGGCATCATAAGAACTCGTGAATAAATGGCTAATCTTTGCAATATGGAATCCATACCATTTTGAATGGACCTTGGTCCAAAAGTCTTGTATTGATGATAATTGATGAATGAATCTTGATTCTTAAATAATGCTTGAATGAATCTCAAAACATCACTTGAATCCAATTTAATTCTCAAATCAGATCCAAACCAATTTTCACGACAAGCAACAAACAATGGATACAATGATAAAGACCTTTGTAATTCGAGTTTTAGATGGTCCACTCGATTAGATTTTGAATTCAGATTATACTTTAAATTTGTTACCCATATGCATGAATTCTATTGAATCAATCTTGAGAGGAACATTTCACAATAATGAATCCATTCTCTACTTCACTCTTCAAATTCAAGTCAACTTGCAAACAATCAAAAAGTTGAAGAGATAACAAGGCCTTGATTACAGAGAACCCTCAAACTCCTACCATATTGTATTACTCTCTCTTTAATTAACAAAATATCTTGATGAAAATCCAAAGAAGCGCTTACTTATCTGATAAGTATTATCACAAGAAGAGAACCATGACTCAATCTTCTAGCCCTCTTGAGAAGACTTGAATTGTGATGTAAGCAATTAGGAGGAACCCCAATTTTCTTAATTTGGAAGTACAATGATGATGAGATGACTTGATGTATAGAGAGGAATCAAAACCCTAGCTCATAGCCTGCTCAATTGCAAGTCATGATGAGTCTTAAGCACACAAAGTTAAAGCCCTAATCCACTTGTTCTAGAGGAACTTTTGATGAAGAAAACCTTATGTCTCGAGGAAACCTGTTAATGAAGATATATATGGTGCTTGTGATCCAAAACCCTAATCTCATACCAAGAAAAATGAGAGCACCAGTTGAATCAATTTTGAGTAAGACAGCAGCCTCAATTCATAGAGAGAAACCCTAATGCTAAATCTCTTCGATCTTGTAACCATGGGACCAATGATATGTGTGAGATGTACTGAGTATGGCGAGGGATATTATGGGAAAAAAATGGGGTATAACAGCTTCCCTTATTTAAGTGTCTTCTATCCGGAGATACAAAGATTAAAATCTTCGTTTCGACGTGATTGAAGATACTTAAATACAAAACAAGCCCTATTTTTGGCCCTAAGATTCCATGCGATGCTTATGATTATGAATCTAAAATATAAACTTCATACGGGTGAATAAAACACATTGGAGAAGTGAAAATAAAATCAGAAGTCTAACAGAAAGAAGTTGACCAGGAAAGTAAATATTTGGGGAACAACACGACTCTGGGGACAGAAATTTGAATCCATTGGGGACAAATTGGCTCCGCTGGGGAAAAGAAGACTCGACTTAACTGGATTAAGGTATAGAGAAGAGACCAAATAACATCAACCTAAAAAAGTGATGATAACAACGGTTAACTGAGAACTGTGAATTGTCCACTCATAGAGGAGATAGCAAAAAGAGAGTAACATCAACACAGAGGATTAACAACTGCTAAATAGAAGAGCACGAATAGAAATGGTAAAGATAATATTGGCTCAGAGATGACGATAAACATCAATATCAGGACTAGTAGATGAATGATTGGTATCAATACTTATGACTGGTAACAATAGTTTGATGTCAACACTTATGGCTGGAAACAACTCAACTCAATCGGTAGTAAGGTCCAATGAGGAGAAAGAAATGAACCTCGAATAAGAATGACGATGAACTACCAACTCAAAGATGAAGGTAGAAAAAAATAGAATTGACACCGACCTTTTTTAAAGGTAAAGAAATAGAAGATACACTGACGTTTACTGAAGGTGGGCTAAAAACTTTCCCTGGACGTAGAGATACAAAATATGAACCGACTTTAACTGAAGGTGAGCTACCGACTTTTACTGAAGGTAGAGAGAAAAGAGAAAACACCAGCTTTTACTGAAGGTGAGGTCTCAAAGAACAATAACGAGTTTCCCAAAATTATGGCATTTTACCTAGAGTGAGTAAAAATACAAGTTATCTCAAATAAAGAGACTACCACTTTTAAATATTTCATAGCAAACTTCTTTTTCAAAACTTCATCAAAGAGATACCATTTGATGGAGTATCAGATAAGCCTCCCCTCGATCCTGACCATAAGCGACGAACAAGTCTCTGTTTCTTCTTTAACCAAGATATTTCACCTGGAAAGGGTAAAAATACAAGCTATCTCAAATAAAGAGATTGTCACTTGTAAAGATTTCACAATAAACTTCTCTTGTGAAACTTCCTCGAAGAGATACCATTTAATGGAGAATAAGATAAACTTACCCTCGATCCTGACTATAAGCCACGAACTGGTCTTAGTTTCTTCTTTAACCAGAATATTTCACCTGGAAAGGGTAAAAATACAAGCTATCTCAAATAAAGAGACTACCACTTGTAAAGATTTCTCAACAAACTTCTCTTGCGAAAATTTCTCAAAGAGATACCATTTGGTGTAGAATCAGATAAACATCCCCTAGATCCTGACTATAAGCCACGAACTGGTCTTAGTTTCTTCTTTAACTAATATATTTCACCTGGAATGGGTAAAAATACAAGCTATCTCAAATAAGGATACTACCACTTGTAAATATTTCACAACAAACTTCTCTTGCGAAACTTCCTCGAAGAGATACCATTTGATGGAGAATCAGATAAACCTCCCTTCGATCCTGACCATAAGCCACGAATTGGTCTCAATTTCTTCTTTAACCAAGATGTTTCACCTGTAAAGGGTAAAAATACATGCTATCTCAAATAAAGAGACCACCATTTGTAAGGATTTCACAACAAACTTCTCTTGCGAAACTTCATCGAAGAGATACCATTTAATGGAGAATCAGATAAGCCTCCCCTCGTTCCTGACCATAAGCCACGAACTGGTCTCAGTTTCTTCTTTAACCAAGATATTTCACCTGTAAAGGGTAAAAATACAAGTTATCTCAAATAAAGATACTACCACTTGTAAAGATACGATAATAAACCTCTCTTGCAAAACTTCCTCGAAGAGATGCCATTTGATGGAGAATCAGATAAACTTCTCCTTGATCCTGACTATAAGCCATGAACTGGTCTTAGTTTCTTCTTTAACCAAGATATTTCACCTGGAAAGGCTAAAAATAAAAGATATATCAAATAAAGATACTACCACTTGTAAAGATACCACAATAAACTTCTCTTGCGAAACTTCCTCGAAGAGATACCATTTGATGGAGAATTAGATAAACCTTCCCTTGATCCTGACTATAACCCACAAACTGGTCTTAGTTTCTTCTTTAACCAAGATATTTCACCTAGAAAGGGTAAAAATACAAGCTATCTCAAATAAAGAGACTTCCACTTGTAAATATTTCACAACAAACTTCTCTTGCAAAACTTTCTCGAAGAGATACCATTTGATGGGGAATCAGATAAACTCCCCCTCGATCCTGACCATAGGCTACGAACTTGTCTCAGTTTCTTCTTTAACCAAGATTTTTCACTTGGAAAGGGTAAAAATACAAGCTATCCCAAATAAAGAGACTACCACTTGTAAATATTTCTCAACAAACTTTTCTTGCGAAACTTCCTCGTAGAGATACCATTTGATGGAGAATCAGATAAAGTTCCCCTCGATCCTGACTATAAGCCACGAACTGATCTCAGTTTCTTCTTTAACCAATATATTTCACCTGGAAAGGGTGAAAATACAAGATATCTGTTGTACCCCAAAATGTTCCCTCTCATTTTACTCAACACATAGTCCTAGAGGTTCTCAATTGCGCAAGGTTGACCAAGAATTGACCAAGATAATTCTCCTCCTAAGGCAATGAACCCCCAACTAGGGTTTCCATTTTTCATCAAGAAGGTTGAGCTCCAAGGATCCTAAATGTTATCCATGGTCCTAATATGTCTTCAAGATCATCCATTCCAAATTCCATGCCTTGCACAATAAGTTTGCTCAGTCAATTGCTCAAGTATTGGAAAATCAATTATGTTAGGTCAAAAGTCAACTGTGGCCCATGTGCAGTCAAACTTCAAGATTTTTGGTCAACGACAACATTTTGAAGTGATATCCATAATTTAATGAAGGGTTGATCATGATTCCTCAAGAAATTCCCCTAACTCATCAAAAGTCAAAAATGGCAAATTAGGGTTTCTATAGGAAAAGTCAACCAAACTTTAACCAAGCATAACTTTCCCATACTTTATCAGAAATTTTCCAACCAAATCTCATTTTTAATAGAATCTAATTCCCTACAACTTTGTTTCATCCCCAAAGATCAATAAATGCACCATTTGAAAGATACAAGTTCATACATTACATGTCATTTTCAGAAAGTCAACAAAAGACACTTTTTGTATATACCTTTTACATCAAGATAACATCTTCAAATCCAAAAATGATTAAAAGAGGGATTTAAGTAGACATCTTAAGCTTTCCAAAAATTCCTAGATTATCTACTTGGGATAAAAATTGAGCAAGTTATGGTTTTCCCAAGTTGGGAAAGTTTTGGAAAATTCAAAAATCCTACATCGGGAAAAGTTAGGTTTTCAAAGCATTAACTCATTTCTTTGAGTTTTAAACATCTCCATGGAATAT